GGTCTTAAAAATATTTTTACATGGACAAAGTGTACTCATTAAGTACACCAATGAATATTCAATCACTTGAAGTGAATAAGGATCCGTTCCAACCTCTAGACGAGGATGAGGAGCTCCTTGGTCCTGAAATACTCTATCTCGGTGTAGATGGTGCACTTATTTATCTTGCTAATGCTAACAAAAGTGGTGTAGATCATATTGGTAATGCAGATGCAGGTTATTTATCTGATCCCCATAAAGCTCGATCTCAAAGNTATAGTAGCAGCTTACACAGCAGCTTGCAATAGCAGCTTACACAGCAACTTGCAGTAGCAGCTTGCGTAGCAGCTTACACATCAGCTTGTAATAGCAGTTTACACAGCAGCTTGTAGTAGCAGCTTACACATCAGCTTGCGTAGCAACTTACACAGCAGCTTCCTTTCTTCTATAAATAGAAGAGATTTCAGTTCATTATGTACATCAGTTTGAATTCGAATAATATATCAGTTTCTCTCTATACTTGTCTTTACTTTATAGTCTTTATTTCATAACAAGAAAGACATTATATGTGAAAAATTAATTAATTTGGTTCACTTCGCATAGATAAATTAACACTAATATAATTTTCATCCACAAAAAATTGCATTAACCCGTGCTTTAAATAGACTACCTTTCAGACCTAATTGGATTAATATGGGATAGAACTATAACTATATTAAACCGTCTACCAAATAAATCATCCAATACTCATTTTGGAAGTTAGAGATGAATACAAAATTACTTATACTTCAAAAGGCACGCTTCGGGAAGACCTTTGGAGTTTGGATAGCAAAAGGAAATTGGGAAACTTACACAAGTGTCCCAAATAAGTTTCAATTTACCAACCTCTAGTCATTAGTCATAGACTTACCAAAACTAGTCAAATATATATAAAAATTGAAAAACCAAATAAATAAGGTTCTTTCTTTCAAAGAATCACATGTAAAAATCACCTTCCATATATTTTAAGCGTGATTAGCAACATTAGATGCAAGACGAAAAGGAAATTTCATGGATGAGGTAGCAAATAAGGGGATAAAATACAAAAAAAAAATATACAATATTTCAAAAATCTAAACAAAAAAGGAATTTTTATAATGGGTATAGTTAAAATTCATTGAAAACATATAGATAAGTCAATATACAAAATTTGAGGAAGATTGGAGGTGATTTGGACTAGTTTTGTATCAAAATTCGTAATTATTCGAGTTCAAAAAATTCTTCTGCGACACAGGTATCACGCATGTATCTCACACACAGGTATACGTGGATATACATGTTATACACAATCGATACAAATATGATACATATGTGATATACAAATGATACACAATGTGATACACATATCATTTTTTTCATATTTAGTTTTTACTTCGAATTTTCAATTCAAACCACTTCAAAACTTAACCAAATCGTCTCAAAACTGAGATTCAAGCTCCTTAAGATATACACAATCTATTCTAATAGCATCCACTCAAAAGAAAGCAAAAATTTGATTTTTTTTTTTTTCTACAAATAACTAATTGGCCTATTTAGCTAATATTAATAATATTTTATCAATTGAATAATTTTTGTAATGAACTACCTATAAATGGACATAGCTGATAATTTCCCAAAGAAATTAGCTAAGGGAGTATAAAAAAGAAACTATGATTCAAAATGAAAATTTAACTTCAAATACAATATTGGTATATTTCGAAGTTTGATTACTCTTTTTTGGAAGTTAGTTTACTCTTTGAGTGCCAAAAGATTAGGGTGAGCATATAAATAAACTTGTTCAACATCGTATACTCTAAAATATTTTTTATATATATGGTCAAATTAGTAATTGTTGGTCTCCACAATAGTAGTAGACACTATCAGTTGTAAGAAGTATAAAATGAATGTTTTTACTCCATTGATAATATGGAGAAACAATATCTCTTAGCAAAAATTTTGGAGAAAAATAGTTTTAAGTTCAACTTTTGCCATCTTATTGAAGTTTGACAATAAAGAATAATACGCAATCTTGTAGGATAGTATATCTAATTAAATTGTTTTATAGTGATATTAGGATTATTGATGTTCAATTTTAAAAAATTAAATTGGAAATCAATTGGGTGACTCCAAAGTGAGATAGCTCTTATTGAATTATTAATGTTTAATTCCAAGAATTTAATGTTCAAGTCAAATATTTTACTTAGAAGGGAAATAATTTTTTATTGTTTAGATCGAAAATATTTTTTGAAATCATAAGAAATTACTAATGAAGATAAATAATAGTCATAACTTATCATACTCCTTAACATCCCTGTTCCACAAATGGTTGGAGGGACAAATCAGCTATCTTCAAGATACTTCAATAGTGGAAATCCACTCAATTCTAAATTCCCAACGTATGATACCATGAAATCTACCTGTTAAATTAGCAATTTAATTTATCTTATAGATAAAAAAAAATCTCTTTTCAAAGTAATTAATATACTTACAAAATTATTTCTATAATTACATGTATGGGCCATCTCTATCTAGTCAAGAAAGAGAACAGAATAGATAAAAAAACAGAGCTACATATTCTTTTTGATAACTAAGATATATTCAAAGGTGAGATGGCGAATGGTTCGAATTTCAATGAATAATGAAACTATATCTTTGCCTTTTGAAAATCAGGCATGTGTTTGCATGTAACATACTAGCATGTATATAAACAGAACCATCGAAATCTCGCCAAAAATATATATATTTGATGACTATTATTTTTTTGGACGGCCCAAAAATATAATCAATCAATCGTTCGTTCTATCGAATATATATAATTCTGAGCTTGGCCAATTGATCTATTTTGCCCCTCGGATGTTAGAAGGGAAACGTGGATGCCAAATATACAATGACTCAACCCCCCATCTATCCCCGAGCTCTACCTACGTTTGAGACAAGTCTCGGACGAGTCTCTAGTTTACCTTTTTTATGTGATCCTCATACCGATATATTTACAGCTTGTTTGGAGGGTTGTTACCCATTGTATCATATTGTTAAGGGGAAAAGGCCATTATTACCCCTGTACTTTGAAATTAAGGCACGTTTATCCCCCGTTATACTTTACATTCAATCCCCACCCTACCGTTAATAAAGTTAATGCAATTATCCCTAACCCTAATGCCTCGTCGATGTGGCAGCTGACCCCATCTCTTTTCCAAGTCAGTTGCCAACTCAGCTGCCAGTTAGGACTTCCACTAACTTATAAGCCCCACACCCAATGGCTATTTAGTCCCCCAAACCCAATTTCACTCCAAGTAATTTGACCCATACCCACCGTCTTCTTTTTCTCCCCCAAAATACATTCCATTGCTAAGAAATTAGGGCTCGACTGAAATCTTCCCAAAATTTCTCTTTTCTTCATTCTCGTCATAGCTTTGGTTGTTAAATGTCGCAAGATAGTTGTTCATCACAGATTAGGTGTCGTTGTGGCATTATAGCCAAACACTTCACTTCGTCTACTCCATATAACTCTGGAAGAAAATTCGACAAATGTCTAAGGCCTAAGGTTACCATATTTTTTAGTTTTCTCTTCTTCTTCTTTTTTTAAATAATTTTACTGTAATTTTGAAACCTAAATGTTCTTCTTGAATTATGTTTGACAACCTAGTTCATGTGGGTTTTGGGAATGGGAAGATGAAATCTTCCCGCAAAGTGATTGGACTAATATTAAAGATGTAACATCGTCGATTAAGGAGATTAAGATGCAAAGAGACAAATTGAATGAAGAAGTAATTACCATGAAGGCTATACACCAATATGAAGTGGATAAAATCGTCAAGTTGGAAGATAAACTTACAAAGACAAGGATGTTGCTTATGATTTCTTGGGGATTGTTTATTGGTTATTTTACGGCCTCGATGATGAAGTGACTATTTTGCAAATTCAAAGTTGCTCATGTTGTTGTAGTAGTATTTGCATGTTCTTTGATGATGATGTTGTAGTAGTATTTGTATGTTCTTTGATGATGATGTTGTAGTAGTATTTGTTGGTTAGTATTTTCCTTATTGTATACCCTAAAGAAGGAGCTTTTCTTCTCCAATTCCTAAACATGTTTGTTTTCTTTAGAAGATATGATAGTGTATTTTCTAGTGTACAGAAACTTTAAGATTCTATTTTGGCATGTTGAATAACTACATTCCAAGTGCAAAATTGAAAAATAAAAGACACAAAATACAGCAGCAGTCCAAGCTGCAGATTCTAAATGGCAAGCCATTCCAGACGTACAGAAACAACAATTATCAATAATTATTTGTACAGAAACTGAAACACTTACATTCCAGACGTAAAAATTGATAACTAGATAACTGGAAAACTAAAATTGAAAATGGAACAAAATGGACAATAATTATTTGAACACCAACTATCAATATTCATAACATTCACCAACATTCACCAACTATCAACATTCATGAAGTGAGTTTATAAGACAGGTATCCATTATAACCCCAAAAAAATATCAACACCTAGTTATATTATTGCATCCAAGTGACACAACTAAAGAATCACAACCAAAATATAAAGTTTACTGATATGGCAGTAATTACAACACATCCAAAAATTTACAAATATTCAATACTTGATGCAAAGTCATATCACTTTTGCTCCTTACCACTACCCTTTCTTGCTTTCAACTTGTTCAACCTTTGTTTGTTCAACTGATTTTCAGTGATGGCAGATTTTTCCAGCCATGTTAGGCCTTTTGTTGAGAAAGTAAGCTTTGAAGGCTGACTTGCACTGCTTGAATCACCAGAAAATCCAATTTTCCTGGTTGCAGTTGGTAAGCTTTGTTGCCTCAGCTGGAGTCTTGTCCTTGCTTCTGAGATGCTCTTTGGTCTTATAGTTATGTCAGGCTCAGGTTCAAAGTTAGGGATATCAAAATCTAGATCATTACTTGTTGGAATCTGCTTTTGAACAGTAGGGGTTGGCATAAACACAAAGTTGTTGGGCTGACTGTTTTGACTTGGTTAGGGTGCTAATAAATGGAAGTCATCTTCAGTTGGGATATCTGCAACAGCTGGTGATGTAGGTTGTTCAGCATCAGGTTCATCAACCAAAGTTCTTTGCTTTTTGTTCTGCTTTCTCCTTGAATTGCCACCCATTGGTTGTTTCCCTTTAGAGTGCTATTATCAAATAGAACACAATTATATGTTAGAACAAGGCAGAATAAATTAGAAGTGCAAATTTATTGTTCAAGAGATAGATTACCTTGGCACAACCCCTAACATTATGTCCAGCTTCTCCACAATTATTACATGTCATGACTCTCCCTTTTCTGGATTGAGACCATTGCCCTTGCCTATTGGTTGACTCATTTGCCTCTCTTATTCTTTTTACTTTTGATCTGCCAGCTTGTCTTACAAATTCAGGTGGATCCATATTCTGGGAGGGCTCTATCTTCCAGAACTTTTCTCCTCTCACAGGTTGCAACTTATGAGAATAAGTCTGGAGATATGCCTTTTTTGAAAGAAACCAGTGAATCTCACTCAAAGGATTAACTTTCTTGTACAGTAGGGCACAAATTGCATGAGGACATAGGATTCCACAAAGGTTCCATGTCCTGCAAGTGCATTTTTTTGTCCCCAGATTGACAATATTCCTATCACTACCTTCTGTCACCTCATAACCTTGGTCAGCACTGCCATTCACATGACACTTTTGTGCAATCCTCATGAACTGGTTATACAGATTTAGAGTCTTAGGACTGTACTCACTTCCCCACCCAATCAATTCAGCTTCATTACCATTCAACATATTCATAACCTTGATTCTGATCTCTTCTAGCATCTTTATAATTAACTTGTGTCTAGCTTGCAATATCCATGCATTGAAGGACTCAGTCAGGTTATTATCCACTGACTGGTTCTTGCAGGTAGTATCAAAGAAGGCCCTACTCCAGCAGGTAGGTGGATACTTTAACAGATCTTCAACAGTAGTTTTTCCATCATCTTCCACTTGGCTCATACTCTTCAACTGATCTTGGAAGTCCTCTTCATAGGTACTACAAGCTGCCCACCACAGATATTTCTTGTATTCCCCATATCCCATCTCTTGCATCGGTTTGCTTCTATGTGTCTAACACAAAATCTGTGGTGTGCCTCAGGAAGCACTCATGAGATTGAATCAATCAGCCCCTACATATAAAGGAAAGAAGAAGTATGAGAATCTATATGTACAGATTGAAAAAATAATAAAATAATAACATAATGAAGTAAAGTTTTCATACCTTTTGCATATCTAAGATGAAAGTGATTCCTTCACCCATATTAAGGTCCAGTGACATTTGCAGATGAGTTAAAAACCACTTCCAAGTGCCTTTTGTTTCTTTATCCACAATAGCCCAAGCTAATGGATAAAAGTGGTTTGCAGAGTCTTGACTAACTGCCACCAAGAGTTGACCCTTAACTTTCCCTTTCAAAAAAGTTCCTAGCTTCAGTAGTATCTTTGAATGTCATTGGCCTATCCAACTCTTTATAGTCAGTCAATTTATCATTAATGTCTCTCTTCTTTTGTTTAAAAAATTTCTCTAGTGTATCACAATCATAGTCTGAAGAAACAGTATATTCATTGTCATCACAATTATTACTTTCATCACAATTAGTGGCAGCTTCAAGTTCATTAAGTTCATCATGCTCATTGTGATGAATTATATTACGTACATTAATTCTTGGCTCACATTCCTCTACAGCAAATATGTTAATAACATTAAACTGGTTGTTCACAAAGTCCAATAAAGTCCTAATGCCATAATCACCTTCTATTTCATAATATGTACCAGAAGGACCATTAACTATTAGTTGTTGGACTCCTATATACCCCAAGTTAGAAACATATTCATCCACTAAATCATTATAGGAAAGCAAGTCAGAGTCAAAACCTTTTCTTAATGTGCCAAAATTTTCTTGAGTATGTTATGAGTGATTTCTTAACCCACTCTCCACCGTGATGAAAGACCAAATCCAGCAGGACCATTGGTAGTAAACTGCAGAATAAAGTCAGTTAAAATTAATAAACTAATAGATATGCATAAAGGCATAAAGACAATAAAATAGAATCAGCCACAAATTGAGTAATTCAGTCAACATTAATAAACTAATATATGTAGTCATAGATATGGGGGATCATACATTAAAGTATTACAAAGTTCAAAGTGTCTCAGCCCCATCCTCTAATATTAAAATTCTGATTCGCTTATTTTCTATTAAAAAAAAAAGAAGTTGGGACCACAAAATATTAAAATTGAAACCCTAAACCACCAAAAGACTATTCAATACCAGATAAGGCAGATGCAAACAAAAAGAGTAAAATTAGGGTTTATTACTGTAAAACCACATGCAAGTGAATACGAACGCATAACACACACTACGAGCATGAGGCTGATGCAAACAAAAAGAGTAAAATTAAGGTTTATTACTGTAAAACCACATGCAAGTAAATACAAAAGCAGAACACACACTACGAGCTTGAAATTATCGTCAAAGATAGGAGAAGTGAAAACCCTAACCAACAAAGAACTATTCATTAAACTCTAACTTCAATAAATACAAAATTAGAAAAAAAAAATAGAAACCCTATGAGAACTACACACACCTATCAACTTCAAATAATCGAAAAAGAAAAGGGTTTATGAAATCACTAACCAACAAAGAACAAATCTGAAAGGGATTCGAAACGCCAGTAAAACTTTCTTGGAAATTTTTTTTGGGATAAATCAAGAAAAGAGATAAAACTAACAGAAAAATCAAGTTTTTGGAGAAAAATTTCTTACCCTTGCTTGAAATCGCCACTGGAAGCAAGGATCCTTATCGGTTTGGTTTCTCTCGTTTTCTTTGAAGTACCAGAAGGTTCGAGCAAATGAGGTGAATAAGGTATTTTCAGACGGGTTAAATCTATTTATTTGGTGGGTTTTAGGTTACGGGTTACGGATCAATAAGATTTGGGAATGGGTAGGGGCTTATAAGTTAGTGGAAGTCCCAATTGGCAGCTGACTTGGAAAAAAGAGATGGGGTCAGCTGCCACATCAACGGGGCGTTAGGGTTAGGGGTAATTGCATAAACTTTATTAACGGTAGGGTGAGGATTGAACGTAAAGTGTAACGGGGGACAATCGTGTCTTAATTTCAATAGTACAGTGGCAATAATGGCATTTTCCCTTATTTTTATCCCAAAACAATGTTTGTTTTGATTGTTTATTTAAAATTGATTGTATTGTATTGTTAAATCTGTTTTTTCAGAACAACGAAAAGTCCCATTTTGTAAAACAACGGATTTGGTGTGGTGGGATTATTTTCTTATTTTTATTTTCAATTACGCCCTTACTTATTACTCCATAATTATATTTTACCCTTTACTTTTTTTTAAACTCCAAATCTCCAATATATTGACATACTTTGTCTTCGTCCATCTTTTCTAGAATTGGTCCGTGCCATTCTTTTCATTCAAATCTTCAAATATCCATTCATTTTTTTGTCTCTTTCCATTTTTTTTAATGATAGTTAACATTTTTCTTCAGGTTTTTGCTCTTGTTTTCAAGCTACATAATTGGTGATAAATAGTAAAAGGAGATTTTCTTAAATTATGTCTATCTGTAATTCTTAATAAATTTAATATTCCCTCCGTTTCAATTTATGTGAACATATTTCCTTTTTAGTCCGTGCCAAAAAGAATGACTCCTTTCCTTATTTGGAAACAATTTACCTTTACATAAAGATTTATAGTCACACATAATATATGGAGAAGTTTTATTTTGTGTCTCATGCAACTTACACTAGTTGTAGGAGGATCCTTTTTGTCTCACAAATTTGTGAACCTCAATCTTACACTTCTAGGTCCACAAAACTGTGACACAAAAAAGTTGCCTCATACAACTAGTGTCAGTTGTATGAGACACAAATAAAATTTTCCTAATATATGTGCCTCATTTTAGACCACAAGATCAAAAGTCTTCTCTCTTTTTTTAAACTCCGATCTCAGTCAAATGAGTTCACGTAAATTGAAACGGAGGGAGTATTCAATTGAGAGTATTTTAGTAAACTTATCAGTTACAGTATATTATGATAAGTCAAACCAAACAACAAAATTGTTACTTCTATTTAACAACATTAAACGGTATAATCTATTCACAAAACAATACAGTATAATACAATGCATGATAAAACGATGCGTAACAATAATCCAAACATAGTGTGTTAAGATGTACTATATTCGTTGTTTTTCCCTTGTTATTTTTGAACTTCATGTTTTCTGTTTGTACTAATCAACTTATAGATTCTTGCTCTGGAATAAGAAAATGTCCGCCTTTTGCAAATGATTATTCTTTTAATTCGCCAATGAGATGGTAGTTGTGGCTTCCTTCTTTTTTTCCTTTTCTCCATTTTCAGTTTTTATTTCTAAATGATTTGTTCAGTTATCAGAAAATAATGTTTCCCACTAAGTAATGACCTAGTCTTTATTTGGACTTTGCTATCATCTTAATGGCTAACCATGAAGCAATTACATAAATGTTAAAAAAGATGCCTTCACCCCAATATAAAAACCAAGAGTTCCCTCCCCAACAATGCAACAGTCTTCTTAGTTCTATCTTTCCTTCTTCCACTTATAGTTGCAAATATCAAAATGAGAAGCTTTGGGAATTTGGGGGCAATGGCCTCTACTTGCAGCTGCTTTGGCAATTTGCTTTGTAGCCAGTACTGTTGTTGCTGATTACTCTTATGGCTATACTTCTCCTTCACCTTACAACTCTAACAAGTATTACAAATCACCATCTCCGTCCAAATATCATGTCAATATTCCTTACTACAAGTCGCCCGCTCCTTCAAAGAACTACAACAAATCACCTGCTCCCGTAAAGAATTACTATAAGTCACATGTCCCATTAAAGAAATATTACAAGTCGCCAACTCCTTCAAAGTACTGCTACAAGTCACTGTCGCCCGCAAAGTACTATAAGTCGCCAGCTCCTTCAAAGAACTATTATAAGTCTCCAGCTCCTTCAAAGCACTACTACAAGTCACATGCTCCTTTGAAGAACTACTACAAGTCGACAGCTCCTTCAAAGTACTACTACAAGTCGCCATCACCGACAAAATAGTACAAGTCACCTGCTCCATCTGCTCACAATTACTACAAGTCACCATCTCCAACAAAATACTACAAATCGCCTACTCCTTCAAAATACTACAAGTCATCATCACCAGCAAAATATTACAAGTCACCGGTTTACTACAAGTCTCCACCACCACCAACTTATTATGAGAAATCCCCTTCGTACTACAAGTCACCTCCACCTCCTCCAAAGTATGAGCAATCACCAACTTATTATAAATCTCCACCTCCACCATACTACAAAAAATCTACATCTTCATATAAATCTCCTCCACCCCTACCAAAATACTATGAGCAATCACCTTCAACGTTCAATTCACCACCTCTACTAAAGACAAATGAAGTATTACCATCATACTATTCACCTCCACCACCAACAAACTATTACAAGCAAACTTTCACTTATGCCTCATCTCCACCACCCGAGAAATACGAGCAATCTTCCACCTATTCTTCACCTCCGCCCCCGTCATTTCCCCCACCAACGTACTATTGATATTCACTAATTCTATCATTTCAACCATCTCCTTGATATTTTTAACTTCTTTTAGTCCTTCTATTCTCCATTTCTTCTCCCAAAATCCTATGTATGCTTCCGAAGTTTTTGATTGTTTTGTGTTTTCCTTTCTTTAATAATTTATCATATGTATTGTTTAAGATTTTATTAAGATCCTTGGGATCTTCTTCAGTTTGGCTCAATGTATCAAGATTCTTTTTGGTGTAATCTCGAAGTTCTAATTTGCGTAATACTATCTTCTTCTTTGTCTAATACTCATGTTTGCTCTAATTGCTTGAATTCTTTCATTGGTCTATAAGTACACACCTTCTTAAGAGATTGTAACGTACTTGTCAACTTCTGACAACAACAACAACAACAATAACTCAGTGTAATCCCACAAGTGGGGTCTGGGGAGGGTAATATGTACGCAGACCTTACCTCTACCCCGAGGGGCAAAGAGGCTGTTTCCAGGAGACCCTCGGCTCAAAGAGGCAACAAGAGACACTATATTAGTACTATCAATAGACTCATAATAAAACAACATAAAATACCATAAAATCCATAACATAACATAAATACCTTAAAAAACAAAGTAACAGCAATATAAGAGATATAGGAAATACGAAAAAGATGTAAGGTATTAATACACAGCAGATAAAGCCCATCATCAGTAGTTGATCAATAGCATCCTAAGACTAATTCCTAACTGGCTGGTCTCACTCTAGTGCGCTGTAAAAAAGACATCACAATTTCCCCTAACCTACAACCTTAATGTTTNTGCACTCAAGGTATTCCGTCTTCGTCCTGCTCAACCTGAAACCTTTGGACTCAAGGGTATGTCTCCAAACCTCTAACCTCTCGCTGACGCCGCGTCGTGTCTCGTCGATTAGGACTATGTCATCAGCAAATAGCATGCACCGTGGCACCTCCCCTTGAATATGATGCGTTATAGCATTCATCACCAGGGCAAATAGGAAAGGGCTGAACGCAGACCCTTGGTGTAACCCCGTAATAACCGAAAAATAATCGGAGAAATAAAGAGAGAAAAGACCACATAAATGAGCCAGGGTTAGTGACAGTGTTCTCTTCAAAGACTACTCTTTTCATTATTTTGAGATGCAACAAATTAAGAACATTATTTTTAGTCTTATAGGAAAATAAATACAATTTAGATAATGCAAATTTATTAAATCTTTACCTTATAAAAAATTACACAATGCAACTCCAACATTGTCGCTTCCAACAAGTTAATAAATTGGCAAATAACTCACAATATCAGTAAAAGATTTGTCTCTCATATAGTTATTTTTGAGTTGTTACTCGCTAACATTTAACTCTTAAATAAACAAGTCTCACACCTACCATGAACACAAAAAGTACAATATTGTTATCAATCATAATTATGTAGAAAACAGATCCGAAGAGGATAAGAGATTGACAGACAAAAATAACCCACTGTTTCTTAAAGTACCCAAATTAAAAAGAATGTGACGTTTTAAGCTTACCAAACGAACCATTTTACAAGACTGGATAAGCAGGTGGGGGGAGTTAATACAAGTGAAAAAATCGAGTGACTCCTAATATAACAGCCCCAGCAAGAATAAACAACTGATCTGGAATCGAAGCATAGAACAGCCCCATCAAATTTTATTACTTTGCCGCAAAGGAAGACATGTATAGCAGATTCTTTATCTTACAAGGAATGTGTTAATACAAGTGAAAAAATCAAGAGTGACTCCTAATACAACAGATGGCCAAAATTGGAGCGGTGAGGACTGGATATGAGGAAGAGAACCTACTCTATTATGTACATTCGATAAGCATTTATGTATCCTAGTATACTGATGATAAAAATGGATGTTGGGAAGTAACATTGTACAAGTGTCTAATGTCAGGTTGGATCGTTGAACCAATTGCTGAACAAGCCGCATTTTCTGCTTTACTTTCCAAAAAATCATAAAGCTTTCTGTTACATTTCTAGCAGTAAGCGACATGATTCCCTCAGGGATAATGATAGGAATAACCCTCTACAAAAGTCTATATTTTGTCACAGAGAAGTGTGATGGATCCGGTTTGATGCAAACCATGTACTCTAATACTGGAATTAAAGAATATCACCTGATCGGAACAAATGTACCTGAAATGTCAAGGAATATCAAGAGACGTGTCAGATGATCAGTGAAGAGGGACTATATCATATATTCAGTGCAAAAGGGTCATAATGGTCCACAACAAAATATCTGCCAGTCAGAAGATAAATCTGTCAACTACTTTGAGAGACAAAGGAGAGATGCATTACTTCTACAGTTTCAAAAGAAGATAGATACACAACAGGGCTAAGCGGGCATGGCACAAAACATACAACAGAACCTGAAGATTTCAATGATCTTAGCTCCTTTCATTTGATTATTTATTTTTAGACCCTTACCCCTTTGTTAGCTAGACTTAGCACACACTTTCAGTAGGAAATGCACATTTCAAGCAATAAGCTGTATCACCAACTTTTTGCATAAATATTTTCAACCAGGTCAAAAGAGCTACATAGTTGCCCAAAGAAGCACTATATGAAGCTTCATTCAAAAGCCTCCCCCCTCCCATCTCCCCAAACACAATGAGAAATAAATAATAAATGAGGAAACCAAATGCCCAGGGCATAAATAGATGGATCGAAATCGTCAGAAAAGTGCAAAAATATAAAACAAGAAGGAACTTAAAATCAAACAAAAGAAAGTAGCACACCTTTGGACTGTATATTGCTAACGGGCACTTTCCAAGTGGGTTCCGACCAAGGCATCCAATTTGACCAACCAAAAAGCAACTGCAGATGAAGTCTGGGGCATGCTTGAAAAGCTTGCAATAATTTCTTCCGGGTCATAATTCGATCCCAAAGTATGACCAGATTCACACAACCAGTCCTCATTGATAGCAGTGACAAAATCAGCAAGAACCTACAAAGTATTTCAAAATAGAAGTCCAATTATGTGAGACTGATAGCCTGTTTGGCCAAGCCTCTAAAATCAGCTAATTCTTAGAAGTACTTTTAAAAAAAGTGTTTTTGGTGAGAAGCAGTTTGTGTTTTGCTAATTAATTTGAAAAACACTTTTGAACAGTAATTAGTGTTTGGCCAAGCTTTTGAAAACTGCTTCTAAGTGTATTTTTCTCAAAAGTGCTTCTCGAGAAGCTATTTTTTTCTGCTTCTCAAAAACTGCTTCTACTTCTCCTCAAAAGCACTTTTTCCCTTCCAAAAGCTTGGCCAAACACCTCAATTTTTGGCCAAAAAACACTTTTGGACCAAAAAAAAGCTTGGCCAAACAGGCTATGATTAGATCATATTTCTAAGTAAATAATCTCAAACACAATATGGATTTAGCAACAGTTGGAAGGGTATTGTTCTAGACTTCATGGATCTCTGCTTATTTTGAACTCCAAAATGCGACTCCCGAGAAATTAAGACCAATTATCAAAAAGATACTGAAGGACGGGCAGTATTTGTCACCTGTAAAATGTCTGATAAAGTTGAGGCCCGGCGCAGTCTTTTGATCCAAAGATTGTGGGAAGATCTTCTCCAAGCACCAACTAAGGCATCTTCAGGCATTACTGACTGCAACATTATAAATGATAAAACATAAATCAGATTTTTAATTGCAAAAAAATAAGTTGGATGGTTAATTGTGTGGCACTTCACAGAACAAGTAACTTAAAGACTATGAAGGTGCATATCAGGTAGTTTAAGTCTATTTTCAATTTCAATCAGCTATTTGAGGCCTGTCTTGCTCTTGCTTTTTCTTTTTTTTTTTAAATGCTGGTGTCCAGGTCTGCTTGTACGCACCTCAACTAATCCACTGGACAACCTGTCGAGCCCACAAGCGCAGGCCGACAAGGTAATCCTGCTTACCAAGGCTGGAGCGGGCTGCCTCACACCAAGCGTTCTAATTGGGAGTCAAATCTGAGATTCTGAGATTGTGACTCCCATGCTTCAACCACTAGGCCATGCCCAACAGGGACCTTATACTGCCCAATTTGCAGTAAGCAAGACATGGAAAGTAGTTTGTCTAGCTTGTATGTGGACAACTTGGACGGGAAGAAATAGAACCACCTTTTGAGGGGTGGAGAAAACTTCTTTAAAAAATGAAGAAATCTCTTTTCTTGTAAATTTTTTGATGAACTTTTTTATGGAGAAGGTAAAGTGATTTTATAGATAATCTAACACAATGGGTGTACTATTACAACTGTACAATATATTCAGAAGCAAAATGGCAAAAGTATGGCCCTTCTAATCCTGTAAGGACTCTAGCAATTTGTCATGCTGATTAAGCTCATTTACATGCTCCAATCTACACCATTAGCAGGACAAAAGTAAGTTCAGTTTTATCTTGATAATAGAGTTACCGGAGACCACACAATATCTTGTGGTCCTTTCTGTCCATATAGTCCACCATATGCATGCTGGTATAGTATTCCAATACCTGCTCTTCCTTGGCCCTTTTCTATACCAGCATCTCAGAAAGTCAACTGCTGATCTAGGCATGACAAAATGTAATCCAATTTTCTTGATAAGCTAGTTTCTTTGTACAATCATTATTTTATCCAATACACAAAAGGCAAGACATTATATTCGAAAGCACAATCCCACCTTCTTTGACGTTCATCTCAGATTTTATTTCCAGCATCCTAACAAACTAAACTTTCATAACATGTTTTAATTGTTGTTGCAGCATCAAGCAAAGGATGAACTGAACTTCATGTTAGTGACCTCATCATATACATGAATATAAGTTACATAGATCTTCAGGATAATGAGATATGTAATAATAAGGATTTAAAGTAGTTAAAATGCAATGTTGTACAGCAAAGTTTGGCAGCTGATGTTTAGACTAGCATAGAACAGTCTATGCAACCACCTGATAGAAACATGCAACTACTACAGATGTGCTATAATTAGTATGATTTTCACGAACATGAACCACTGTAAGGATTTTTTTGACATAAAGCAAGACATGCATACCACTCAAAATGATACAAGTATCTCATGCATTGTAACATATCTAACCTCAACAAGCTCAATAAGAGGTTCTTGTGTATATGGAGCACTTTCGTAAACACTTTTAAAATGAACATTAAAATATGGACATATAATACTAGTTGCAAAAGCATTAGAATGACTGCTCACCTCAATTGCATGTACTGCAGCTTTAAGTGACTGCAGTTCCGATGGGAGAATTTTATGCTTTGAGAACTTATCAGGATCTAGGTTCTGCCTACATGTTGCAGTATGAATGGTATATCTTTCTTCAAGATCAAAATCAAGCTCGAACGTAGTGTGGCAAATCCTGCAGTGCTTCTCATCCCTCCAGTATAGATCATGACACTGTTCACACCTTGCAAGTGAATCAAGATAAGACCTTTTCCCACATTTCACAGCCGCAAGATTACAATAAAATGATTTCCATATCCATGAGTCAAAAGCTTGAGCATTGTTCCATTTTTCTTGCTGATGTTCTCCTTTCCTCCCTACAGGCACCTGGGAACCAGTAGAACCATTGTGCACTTCAACCAGGCTTAAGTTGTCCACATCAGAAACTGCAGATGATGAACTATCTTCCCTAGAAAAATTCCTTCCACATTGAGGTGATTGCCTATCTCCTAAATCATTCAGCAAATTCGACATTGCTCGGCAAAGGAAGGTTTCCCGTTTCTCCAGAGATGCAACTAGAAGAGCCTCTCGTGTACCTCTACGGTCCAATGCAGACAACAAAGAGCATAAAGACTGCAACCAGATTAAAAATACAGGGAAAAGTTCATTTCTTAAAAGTTGTTGCAGTTACAAACATAAGAAACAGAAGTGCCAAAAATATACCAAAGTACCTCTTCAGTATCAATCACCTCCCAGTGACCATCTTCAGAAGATTCAAAATAAATTCTCCTGTGCCCAGGATCCAGATCATTGCAAGGGCCCAAGAAAATCCAGTATCTATTGTACCTACGGTCAGAACCGAGGAAGATAGACTGCATAGGGTGCAAATTGTCTCCAGCTTCCAGTTCTTTGGCATTCTTTGCAGTGCTAGGTGACTTTTTTTTCTCCCAGATTTTTGACATTGATGCTGAAGAATCAACAGGGTCAAGTTCCAGCGACACTGTTGAATCTTGATTACTAAGTCCACTATGACTTTGTGCTTGACCAGTCAAGTAGGATGACTTTGCTGATGACCTCTTTATTTTTCCACCAGAAGCATGATGAATCCTCGCAGGAGCATATTCTACACGGGACGGCATCGGATCCTGCAGAAAAAAATTGTCACTAATTAAAATGCACAAAAAGTAGCCGATCTGATCAGCAACCTAGTTCCACAAGAGCTTTGTTACATTTTTTTTGATAAGGTAAATTGTATTAATAAAAGGGAGGAAAACTCACATATACAAGAAGTATACCAAAAAGTAGAGAATTTACATCAAAACATGATTCTCTACAAAAGACGCCCAATTTTCTATACAAGTAGGGGCGACATGGGTGCACCAAAAAGCGATCAAAGATAAAAGACTATCCTTAAGTTGAGAAAAGGAAAACTCAATCCCCTCAAACGCTCTCCTATTTCTCTCCCCCCAAACTATCCACATGAGAGCTAACGGAGCAAACTTCCACGCCTTTTGCCTTCTTCTACATTGGCAATTGAACAAAAAGGAACATAGTCCTATTCGTTTGTACTGCCATATAGCTTCACACACTTTGATATACTTATAAGTCATAAAGCAGCAAGGCACTGCTAATCACCATGAATTAGAAAAGATGAGCTTCCCCCTCAGAGTTTTTAACTAATGCGACACACTATATTTTCCTTTACTCTTTTTTTTGGATAACCAAGAAATCCATTGTTTCCATCTTTGGAACTTGATGGAACATCGTTACGCTCTTTCATTCTTCTCCATTTAAATACTGGCAAGGTTCAGTAGCCAGTATTTGAACTCGTGATGTGCACCTACTGCACATCCCCAGTTGTACTATCTCCGTTGTTACTTGTTAAACCAAAGCCCTAGGAGCGACTCTATTTTCTTGACTGCAACAGCAATCCATCGTCCTCCACCAGAAACAATGTAAAAGTTGTAAGGCTTCTATTGATGTCTTCACTTGACCTCTTGCTTTACCTTTTCCTTTTATCTCTTTTGGTTGTTAACAGGTTCAGAGCTGTTTCCTTGTTCATGTATTTTTGTTCAAGAGTAACAGTACTGTATGTCTGTATCAGCAGTTATAGAGGGCGTGGTTTCCCTTTCTACCTTTTCTATCAATTTTCAAGGTTTATCTTTCAGCTCAGATGTTTCTTAGAAATTTACCTACAAGTATAATATAGTTAGCATGCTCATGGAGACGATAGAATGTATTAAAAAGCAAAATTGAACACAGTAAATGAGACATGCAAATAGGAAGGCAGAAGAGTTTGAGGGCATGATAACCTTTTTCCCTTAGGGCATGATAACCTAGAGGTAGAGTTCCTTTAAAGGACATAACGGACTCATGTCGAACTTTTTACCTTCTCAGTGTTGCTGGATGCAGCAGTAAGAAGATCAACCAATGCCACCAAGGCATTCAGCTTCTCTTCGATGCCTAGATCTGAATATTCACCTTCCATCAGCCCCAACAACCATGCTTCTCCTGAGTAGCTTTCATCAATTTCGGTATTTACTGTTGACGAACTGTTCCTATTTTCAAACTGATATCTCCGTCCAGATTCAGCTGGAACTAGTTCGCGGGACTCACAGTCTGAATTATCTCTGATGTATCCACTAATAACCTCGGTGTCATCTCCTTCAGAATCTGAGAAAGAAATTTCAGATTCCTCTGAAGAAGGATTAATACGTAGACGGTACCCTGAAGATGAAATCTTTTCAAACAAGGTAATGTCACTAGAAAGGGTTGCGCTTATTAAATCTTCTAGCTGAATGGTTGTTGCTGCCAGATTCAATTCAACAATCTTTGAGACAAAAGAGAAAAGATTCATTAACCGAAGCATTTATGATGTAAAGGAGGTGCTAAATGATAATAGTAAGGACCAGAATTAACATCCACTTACAGATTGCAGTTTTGCCAGCTCATGGACTTTCATTCCATTAGTTCCTTCAAGTAGCAGAATGCTAAAAAGTTCACCCTTCAGTGTACCACGGGTTAACCCATACTTGGCCATCAAACTAACTTCCTAAGAAACAAGAAACCAATGGGAATAAAACGAAATGAAAATTACAGAGTAACATCATGTATCAAACAGCAAAACTTCCTGCAAGATACTCCTCTGAAAGATGACAATTTTGCATTATTAGGTGTCATAAGATTTAAGGCTTTTTTCAAGAAAATATCAAGACCAATAACAGTTTATAGTAAGCACGATGCAGAGTCGTCCACATGATCTGCCATCACATAGAACAGACAGAGTCCACTGCCACATAAAAACAAAAACACTAAGATGTGTTTGGGGCTTTCTGGAAAGAGTTGAATTAGATAAAAAATAACAGTACTTGTCCACTTTATTACACAGTGAAGGCTCAGCACTTCCAACAGTTTATATCTTCCAATGAAATATGACCACTCATAGATCGAAAAGCTTTAAATATCCAACGACAAGAACCTTAGAGTATGACTTATAGCCACTGACATATCAAAGATGCAAGAATACAATTAAATCAGTAGACAGAAGCTGAAGCACCTTGCTGAGAGCCTCCTGAGGTACTCTACCATGTTTGGACCCAAAACCAGCTGCGACCAAGACTTGCCGTAGTATCTCTGTCCATGTTAAGGCATTGAGAGAACTTATCCAGAGTTTCAGACTAAATTCTTCATGTTCAATCTGCGTTGAAATAAAATAAGTGCTTCCTCTTTCAGAATACTGCACACTTAAGATTTCAAAAAACAGAGATAACAGAAGTTTGCCAGCAGAATAGACAAGCATATAAATAATCCAGTGGCATATACCCTCTCAAGGGAAAGAAATTAGCAAACCCATTACATCACTTGATATCCAAGGATTAATCATTTCCCAGGACCAGTATCACCATTGTGACTGTGGAAGAAAAGCATCTGAAGAATGCATAGAGGGAGGTTGCATGTAGAATATACCAACATTGTTAGCTGATACAATAAAGAAGCAGATAACCTATTCTAATATGTCGAAAATACCACTTGTCCTGATATAAGAGGTCTGTGATTTTGCATACTCCCTGATAGAGATTCAGGACATCTTTGGGGTTTCTAACACTTCGTGTACTTAAAGGACTTCTCTGCTACTCAACTCTCCAAACCAAACTTAGTGTTCAGTATTTTCCATTAAGGCATTAACGATATTGCAGTAGTAGGATTCTTTGGGAAAGAAAAGGCTACTGTTACTGTAATACATGTGATGGTACTAGCTAGCATAATGAAATAAGACCCATATCAAACTCTCAGTATTCTCTATACCTATGTTCTTAATTCCAACAAAAAAGACTCATCTTTTTAGCAAGGATTTGCCTCTTGCAGAAATGCAGGGCAAGGCTGCATACAATAGACCCTTATGGTCCGGCCCTTCCCCGGACCCTGCGCATAGCGGGAGCTTAGTGCATCGGGCTGCCTTTTAGCAAGGATTTCTTTCTTCTTTTTTTTAATTTGGATAAATATATTAGCAAGGATCATAATAGTTTGGTCTCACTGCACTAGACTTACTAATAGCTAGTTCCAGCTTTTCCTGCTAAAAAAAGAATGAACGTTGTATATTGGAGCAGCAATCCTTGAGAAAGAAACTTATCGTTTCAGTCTCATATTAGAACAACTGTTTGGAAGGATCCTTTTTCACAGCTCTAGCTTATGTAAAAGGTGAATCTAGGACCTATACCTTTCCTTTAATTTGTTTTTGTGATAAAATTATTAAGGACCATCTACCTTCATTACATGCACTTCCTGAAGAATTCAAGATTATAGGCCCGTAACTTTCCCTTTTGTCCCATTTTCAGTAAAGTATAACTCATGTCAACCCTCTGAATTGATTCAAGTATAAGCAAACATATACGAATATGCTCCAGGATACTTTGTACAAACTTATAGGGTTAGGCGTGTAGGTGTAGTTCAGGGAATCACCCCAATAGAAATAGCGTGTAAAAGCGCAGCACAAATGGTGGGATAGCTGATGACATGATCAAGTTCGCTTTTGTGCCATTTCTACCATATTTTAGATTCCTTCCCCTTTCATTTTCTGAAGAATCATTGTTTCTCCCCTTATCTTCTCCTCTTTATTGTCCTACCAAAGTAGTGTAACCTCCTTTGTAGCAAAGTGACAATAATCAAATCAATAATCCACATTCAGGTTGAAGTTCTAGGAAGCACTAGCTGGATAGCAAATACATACAAATTGCAGTACAAAAATTGTCTTACAGCTGCTTCTTAAAGACTCAAACTCATGTTAAAATAAAAAGCCTTAAAAGTGCCAATGGATCTGAATGCAAGTAGACTCACTGAGTAAACCAATCCCAAGAAATTGCACTTTCTGCTTGCTTGATGAATTAATCCACTGTCAAGCTGAATTTCAACATCTGCCAAAAGAAGCCGGAGAAGGGCTAAATGAACTTGACCAAGGAGCAAGGAATTCTGAAAGCAACAAGAATCATATCAAAATCGGAAAGTGATAGACATCTGATCACCATCTTTAGAAGCAGCTATCAGGTCTCAATAGGCAATGATGGAGAATAACAAGTACACAGCTGAACTTACTTTTTCATGAAATGCTTGAGCAAACTCATCAATTGTGAAGGAACAAATATCAATTCTTGCCACGTATGTACAAATAAAGTAGAAGACCTGCAAAAACAAACTGCATATTAGCCCATATGCTTTTTATAATGGACAAAAGAAATAGGAAAAAAGAAAGTGAGCTATGTTAAGAAAAGCATCAAAATGCAAAATAATTCACCACTTTTATTGGTCATCTTTGTGCAACTTTATTGAGAACAAGAGCAGTAAATCCTTTTTAACAAACAGCACATTAACAATGAGGTATACCAAGTGAGCACTAACCATGACAATCCAATATCCTATTTTTTTATTTGTATTAGAACCATCAGACTCAGCAAAAAATATTATTTCTCAAGTACCTTGAAAAGCTTCTTGACAAGCTCTGGAGAGGAATCCCAAGGTCGCACATAGAGAGGCAGCTTCATTGTTACTGAATCCGGAGGAAACTTTGGAAGTAAACCTAAAGCAATAAAGGAATTTTGTTAGACATAGATTGTAAATCTGTATGCTTCAAAGGAAATTGATGACTGGCGAATCGTGTAATATCACTTGGTCACAGCAATTAGACCATATAATATAGCAATAAACTAACATTTGCAAAGAGGATAGAGAAAAAGAGGGGGCCTTATTCTACCTTTGCAAAGTGAACAGCCACGAAGTCCATTGCTTGCGAAGTGGGTACAGCACGTTAATGAGTTAGGTCCTGCTTCCAACTCCATTAACTCAAGTTCCTCATCGTCCACTAGCGACTCCAACTGAGTAAACTTTTCTTGGCACTTCCTTTTTTTGATAGGTAAGACTTCTTGGCACTTTCTCTCTTCCAGTGCAAGTTCACATTTTTCCTTACGGGGTGGCTTCTGCTTTTCAATCCTTTTATTCTCTGGCTGCAATTATGAAATGCCAAACTAAAATCAGCCAAACCGCTATATATCAAAAAAGGCAACTCCAACCACTAACAATAGTAGCTTTACAGCATTAGCCAGACTAATACCTTTCTGCTTTTCACGCCAACCTTCTTTGTATCCTGCAATTTCTTTTCTATTTTTCTCTGCATACAGAAGTTCAGCCAGCAATTAACAACCTTTGCAAAGAATCAGAAAGGGAACTTGGAAGACATGCATGTACTACAAATTGCTAACTAAATATCAAAGGCATGGCCTGAGGCTCAACCAAAATAGACTGACGCTGCAGCAACTTCTTCTTTCTCTCTTTAGCACTCTCTCCAAAATCAACACCAGTGGGGACGTCTCCGGCATCAGGATTTGTCACCCGCCAAACTGTCATCAAACCCTTCCCCATACCATGTTTTCTAATTGAAACCCTCTTCTCAGTCATTAAACCTTTCCCAGTGCCATACTTTTTCACCGAAACGTCTTTTGTCATTATCACACCTTTCCCAACACCATGCGTCTTAACAGGACGGCTACTTTCACATGAAGCTCGGCAATGCGAGTTGGCAGGTGCAGATATCTGGTTTGGGAAAAAAAGGTTAAATACAAAGAGAAAATATAAGCAAAGTGACAAGTGACAAGAACTAATTGTTGATAATGAGCAATTAGAGGATATGAACATTTGTCCTGGAATATATCTTGCCTACCTTTCTCCTCTTAGTCGCTCCTTGGTTTTCTTGGCTCGCATGACTAGAAATTCTGGAACCTGATCGTGGAAGAAAAATAAAAGAACAAGATTTAGTACAGCAAGCATACAGAAAGAGGTAACTGGCAGTCTGGCATTTAATCAACCATAGAAATAAATAGAAGAGGAAGATGTAATAGCGTTCCGTGACATTACACTTTTCAAAAATGACAAGTGGCTAGTGTCTAATCTTTCCTACTCTACTTAGTACTTATTCCATTAGAATCATCTCTTCATGTGCACAGTTATAAACTGTGAGATTTGTTTCCTTTTATCCCTCTTCTCTCTATGTGCATAGCAAGGCTAGCCATTGGAGCATCAAATGCCAAGTAATGTCATCTATCAGCAAATTTTGAATATTTGAGTCAAATGCTCATAGGTATATGTTGAGGAGCAGCTCACCCACTTCCCTTTCGCCAGAGCTATATTTTCTTCCTTTGGAAAAATCAAACAACATTTTATTTTATTTTATTTTTATGTATGGAAAAATCAAATACAATTTCATCGATACCACGCCAAGACACCATCCTCCGTAACTTCTTTTTCTTCTAATCAACTGCCCCTTAGCTCCATCCTGATATCATTTCAGCTAATGTCCTAGGCTAACCCCCTTGGATATTGAAGGTTGTAAATGACAAGGCACAAAGTTC